GTGTGTCTATTATGGTAGCTACTAACCCATGAGTAACAGCTGTGAAGTGTTGGAAGAAGGATAGGTTTGGGAAATATTGGGATCTTAATAGCATAGGGATGGATTTGATTCTCTTAGAACGGTAAGTTGTGTTAGGATGTAACAGACTGGTTATATTAAATGGGAATTGAATAGTCCATTGTTCTTTACAATTAGTGCAGCCAGTGACAGAGTTGAAGGTTAATTGGTATATGTTCAAGGTCAGGAAGTCAACAGGAAGACAGATACTAATTTTTTTTAATGTAGTAGATTTACTCAGTAATTATTAATTCAGAGTGTGTGCGCCAGGTATTCCACATGCTGAATATAGTGATGAATAAGACAAAGTCCTTGCCTTCATGAAACTTAGATAAAGGACATAAAAATAGCTGTATTTTTTTTAGCTGTTTTATTGGAATATAATGCACATACCATACAATTCACTCCTTTAAAGTGTACAATTCAGTGATTTTTTTTTTACCATAATTCAAAGAGTTGGGCTACTTTTACCATAATTCATTTTAGAACATTTCATCATCCCCCAAAGAAACCCCGTATCTTTTACCAGTCACTATTTCTCCCTAACTAGTCATCCTCTTTTTGCCATAGCCAACCACTAATCTACTATCTGTTTATATGGAGAGTTTCGTATTCTGTAAAGTTTATATAAATGGAATCATTACAATTTGTAACTTTATATGTCTGGCTCCTTTCACTTAGCATGTTTTCAAGGTTCTTCCTATTTGCAGTGTATAGCAGAACTCTGTTCCTTTTTATGGGTGAATAATACAATATTCCATTATATGGATACTACATTTATTTCTTTGTCATCTTAGGGACATTTGGGTTTGTATTTGGTTGTTATGAATCATGTGGCTTATGTGTACACATACAGGTTTAAGTGAATGTATGGTTTTGTTGCTCTTGTGTAGATCTCCAACAGAATTTCTGAGTGGTGCATTAACTATGTTTAACTTTTTTTTTTTTTTGGTACCGGGGGTTGAATTTGGGTCCTTGTACTTGTGAGGCAGGCAGCAGTACCACTGAGCTAAATCTCCAGCCCACTATGTTTAACATTTTGACAACTTACCAGACCTTTCCCAAACAGCTGCACCATTTTACATTTCCAGTAGCAGTAAGTGTTGTGGTTTCTGTACATCCTTACCAACTCTTTTTTTTCGTGACTGAGAGTGGAACTCCGGTCCTGCCGGTTGCAAGGCAGGCTGCATCACTACTGAGCTAAATCCCCAGCCCTTTGGGTGTCATATTTAAGAAACTATTACTTAATAGAAGTTCATAAAAATGTACTCATATTCACTTTTGAGTTAATTTTTGTGTGGTGTAAGGAAAAGGGTAAAAGTTCATTCTTTGACATTATAGATATCTAATTGTTCCAGCATCATTTGTTAGTAATAATGTGAATTGTCTTGATATTCTTATCTAAAATCAATTGATGAAAAATGTAAAGGGTTATTTTAAAAATCTTTTTTCTTTTTTGAGAGACAGGGTCTCACTGTGAGTTCAGACTGGCCTTGAACTCACTATATAGCCCAAGCTGGCCTTGAACTCAGCGGAGATCCTCTTGCCTCAGCCTCCCTAGTGCAGAGATTGCAGGCATGTACTTTCACAAGTTTTTTGTGGGGAGGTGTTTTTTTTTGGTACTGGGGATCAAACTTGGGTCCATGAGACAGGTGGCAGAACCACTGAGTTAAATCCCCGGCCCCACCACAACCTATTTTTCGTCTTAAATCTATTCCATTTATCTGCATGTTTCTCCTTATATTGGTATCACACATCTTGATTACTATAGTTTTGCAGTAGGTTTTGAAATTTGGGATTAAGTTCTCCAACTTTGATCTTCTTCCCCTGGATTGTTTTGGCTGTTTGGGGTCCCATCTATTTCTACCTGAACTGTAAGATAAGTTTGCCAGTTTCTTCAAAAGGACAGATTCACATACAAATTGCATTGAATTATTGTTTGGCTTGATTAGTATTGTGATCTTCAGGACTTTAAGTTTTCCAGTTCTGGATGGGATTTCTTTTCACTTGTTTAGGTCTTTAATTTTTTGACAATGTTTTGTTTTGTGTTTTGTTTTTGTTTTTTTGAGACATGGTCTCACTATGTAGTTGAGACTGACCTGGAACTCACTGTGTAGCCCAGGCTGGTCTCGAACTCACAGCGATCCTCCTGCCTCAGCCTCCCGAGTGCTGGGATTACAGGCATGTGCCACCACACCTGGCATTTTGACAATGTTTTATGCTCTTTACCTTAAAATTTAGTTGTTACTTTCACGTCATGGCAAAAACTCATGAGTGATCAGGAAAGAGATTTTTTTCCTAGAGTACGCCAATCTACTTGTTTTTGGTAATGTTAAAGTAACTTGATTTGTTTTGTTTTTTGAGACAGGGTCTCACTATGTAGTTGAGACTGACCGAACTCACTGTCTTTACCTTAAAATTTAGTTGTTACTTTCACGTCATGGCAAAAACTCATGAGTGATCAGGAAAGAGATTTTTTTCCTAGAGTACGCCAATCTACTTGTTTTTGGTAATGTTAAAGTAACTTGATTTGTTTTGTTTTTTGAGACAGGGTCTCACTATGTAGTTGAGACTGACCTGGAACTCACTGTGTAGCCCAGGTTGGTCTCAAACTCACAGCAATCCTCCTGCCTCAGCCTCAGAAGTGCTGGGATTACAGGCATGTGCCACCACACCTGGCCAAAAGGAACTTGATTTTGTTATTCGTTCTTTTCTGCTTTACCATCAGTATGCAGTTGATTCTCCGAGTCTGCTTAATCTGTTGCACTCTCTATATTTCCAAGGTAGCGACTTTCTATATATGTGATGTAGAAGCATAATTTCTCTACTAGAGTTTCCCAGTTATATGGAAGTTCCTCTTTAAAACTTTTGTTAGTCGTGCAGTCAAGAAAGCTTTTAACCCCACAGGTGTTAGCATTCTTGTGCACTCTTATAAGCTCACCTATTATAAATTTTAGCATTACTAATTTTAGGAAAAATTTCTGTAGTGTAAAGAATTTTTAGAAGCAAATTCAGACTTGGTTATCCAAGTAAATAGCTTCCTAATCTTTCCTTCTGTGTACTTTCTTCCATTTGCCCCGGAGTATGCCCTAAAGGAAAAAGAAACACCTCAAATATTATTTTTTACTTTACCTTATTAGCTTAATTTCTTATTTTGACTGGTTAACTTCTTCCTTAGGTAAACATGTTTATTATAGTTTACGTGTTTTTTATCAGTATGAATTTTCATTAGTGCTAAGTGAGATAATAACTGACTTAAATGAAAACATCATGTAATAATTACAGAGCAGTCAATCACTGAACAGCATACAATTTATTCATCTTGTCCTTAATACCTTTGCTTTCCTTCATGCCTTTCCTAAAATGCCATTTTCTTTGCCAGTCAGTGTTAGTCTTAAGCTTCAGGACTACGTTAATACTTCTAATCAGTTTTTTCATTTTTCAAAAAATAGGTTTTCTTCTAGAAGACTTTGTTAATTCCAAACAATTTTGAGCCTTTAATATTGTGGGATCCTCTTAGTTTTCTTTTATTGAACCCTACCTACTTTGTTTAAGTTTCCCAGAAAAGTAACACAAGACACTCTGGTCAACCCATATTCTAAATTCTTAACAAAACTTTGTCATGAATCTTTTTTGCTGATAGTTGAATGATTTAGAAGAAAACCCTTAGTATCTATTTATTTTTCTGTCTCAAAGCTTGCAGCAGGGGTTTGCTTTTTATTTTACTTACTTACTTATTTATTTATTTATTTTGGTACCGGGGTTTGAACTTGGGTCCTTGTGCTTGCGAGGCAGGTGGCGGAACCACTGAGCTAAATCCCCGGCCCGGGGGTTCTCTTTTTAACCATTAAGAATTTCTTTTGTTTTTTTCTTCTATAGATCATATCTTTTTGAAAGAGTGCCTACTAACAACGACAACTTATTAAATAATTTACTATTTAAAAAAAAATTATGGTCCATAATTGGGCTGCTATAGCTTTTGTGTTCTTTGAGCCCATTTTGAAAATCATGAATGAGTTGAAAAGAGCAAGGACTCTGAAGGTGGCCAAACTTAGATTAAGATCCCAGCTTTGGGGCCAGGGAGTTAGCTCAAAGGTTCCGCCTTGCCTGCCTTGCAAGGAAAAGGTCCCAAGTTTGATGTACCCAAAAAAAAGATCCTAGCTTTGCCAGTTAGTTAATGGTGAATGCTGGGCAAGTTATCTATTGGTATATAAACTTTGCTTATCTTTAAAAATAGGGATAGAACCACAGATGTAATTCTGTGGCCCTGCGCCTGCTGGCAAGTGGAAGGTCCTGAGTTTGATCCCCGAGGTACCAAAAAAGGACAACAACAACAGCAAAAAATAAGGATAGTCCTCTCAAATTTGAAGAGATTTTAGGAAAATTAATAAATATGGATGTTCCCAGTATACCTGTAGGAACATTATTTCCCATATGATAAGTGATATCTATATTCTTTCAGTCCATTTTAATATCTCTTAGCCATTTTCTATTACAGACCCTCAGAATAAGTTTTAAGCCTCTGTAGGTGGCAGTTTTTGTTTGAATGACTTCATTATAAGTTATATCAGGTACTTTATAAAGTAATATAGGTAGAAAAATGTAGAGAAACAGGTGCATGACTGGTTTCAGCTTGCCTTGTATACAAGTACATTTTATACTTTATTTTCACTTCTCTTTTGTGGACAGCTGATCTTATTTCACTAGTTAGTGCTGGCCTTATTACAGTAGCACATTGCAGGTTTGCAGATCTCAGTGGTAGAGCATTGATGAATCCAGTGTTTGATGTAAAGGAGCATGTAACTTGTCTGTAGGATGCTATTGTAAGAATTCAAATAATTGAAGTTTCATTCTAAAAAACGGGAATCTGAGAAAGAAAGAAGTATAAAATACTACATTTTAAAAATAATTGGTGTACAAATTTTTTTGTTGTTGCCTTGCAGTCCACAAGAATTGGAATGTCCGTTAATGCTATTCGCAAGCAGAGTACAGATGAAGAAGTTACATCTTTAGCAAAGTCTCTCATCAAATCCTGGAAGAAGTTATTAGGTATAATTGATCTTCCTTTACATTTATTTATGACATTCTGGTTTGTTTGAGTGATAGTTGTATTTTTTTCCCCTATGGATGTACTGAAGTCAGTGCTTCCTAATAAAGGTGAAGGAAAGCCAGGTGTGGTGGTGCATGCCTGTAGTTCTACACTTCGGAGGGGGCTGAGGCAGAAGGTTCACCACAAGTTCAAGGCCAACCTGGGATATACATAGTGAGTTCAAGGCCAGCCTGACCTATATTGTAAGAGCCTGTCTCGAAAAATAGAAATGAAGAAAACCAGGGGGTAGATAGATAGGTGGTAAGTTAAGGGATCAGTTTAACAGATTCCTGCTGCTGGTTCATGGTTCAGCCCCATGGGATGGGTGTCCTGTGGGACACTCATACATATTCGGCCCTAGCATGAACATGTTAATCTCCTTACAAGTTACTTTTCAGGCTAATAAATTAAGCTTTTTTGACTTCTGACACACTTAACAGGATAAGCTCATTAAGAATTTCTTTTGGAAGAGAAAAATTATGCATACTTTTTGAAATTTTTTTTTTGGTTTTTTGAGACAGGGTCTCACTATGTAGTTGAGACTGACCTAGAACTTACTATGTAGCCCAGGCTGGTCTCAAACTCACAGTGATCCTCCTGCCTCAGCCTACCGAGTGCTGGGATTACAGGCGTGCGCCACCACACCCAGTTTATGTGTTATATTCTTTTCAAGGTATGATATCCAGTGAACGTGTACACTATATAGTTTCTTTTTGTAAGAAATAGTGTTTTGTGGAAGATACTTTAAGATTATAAAACCATTTTGTACTTTCTTAGCACCTCTTCCCTCAATTTTGTATCTACTGACTTTTTTTTTTAACCAAAACTAAGTCTTCACAAAATGATAGTTGCAAAATTGTGTTTTCCTTTTCTTTTTTTTTCCCCCTTTTAGTACTGGAGAGTTGAATTCCATGGCTTTCATAGTGAGCTACATCCCCAGGGACACCCACCCCACCCCCAACTTTAGACAGTGTTGCTAAATTGATCAGGCTAGACTCCATCTTGTGATCATCCTGCCTCAACTTCCTGAGTACCTGGGACCACAAGCATGCCACCATTCCTAGCTCACAAAATTGTGATTTTTTCTGACTCTTCTACTTGTATATACTTATAAGTTATTATTATGATAGAAGAAAATACTATCCTTTTACCCACTTTATCCCTACTTGTTTCACTTGTTAAATAGAGCATATAACTAACTTTCTACATACAGTGTAGTGCAGGGGCCAAAGTTCGATCCCCAGTACCAAAAAGAAAAAAAAAAAAGAAACAAACATACATATAGTATATATAGATTCCTAAACACCATATGAAAGAAGTGCACAAATTTTCAGTTTCTTTTCTCTATTTCTATAATAAAGTAGGATAAACTGACAATAAAAGTAAAGCAGAAAGTATGTGAATGTGTACAGTTTTAAGATTCAAAAGTAATTGTGTCAGGGGCCGGGGATTTAGCTCAGTGGTTCGGTGGCCCGCCTTGCAAGCACAAGGACCTGAGTTCAATCCCTGGTACCAAAAAAAAAAAAAAAAAGTAATTGTGTCATTGCTAATTTTTCATTTGTTCAATAAATATGCAGAGCATGCTGAAGGAAGTCACTGTGCCTTGTAATTAGCACTGGAACACCATCTTGAACATATTCCAATCTAAAGCTGAACAATGCTAATTGGAAGTACATCCTTAATTCTTTTCATAAATGTCTTCAATTATATGAAATTCATTTTCCTATGGAGGACTATAGTAGATATTCATTAAATCATTCTGCATAAACCTGTTTAAATGCCTTTAAGATGACATGGAATAAGCAAGCAGAAATAAGTTTTTTCTTTCAACAAATACAATAAAAGATATACATTCAGTGATCAAAACTAAACAGTAAGCCAGGTATGGTGGCGCACACTTTCAGTCTCAGCAGTTGGGAGATACAGCATGAGAATAACCACAAGTTTGAGGCCAGCCTGGGGTACATAGTGAGTTTGCTCCCTGAACTATGTAGCGGGAGACCCTATCTTAAAAATAACAACAAAATCCTAAACTAAACAATGAAACTTTTTTTAATATTCTTTTAAAATTAAATTTTGAAGTGGATTCTGAGATATTCTAAGGTGGTAGAATGGGATGAAAGGTCAATAGGGTAGGCACAAATAGCAACTTTAGATACCATGCAAAGGGTAAACTACTTTATAAAGTCAATAGCTTATTAAAATAAAGGATTAAAAATAAGGTCTACATATTTACTGTCTGTGAAACATGATGGAGTATAAAAATACAGAGATGTTAAAAGCAGTATATTCATGTAATAATTTAAGGAAGTTATATAAATTTATTTTTCTGTTAAAATATTTTTTCAATTTTGATTTTGGAATTTTTACATTATTTTCCGAAAAATAAGGATGAATTTGTGAAACTGGATTTCTAGTTTCATTTCCAACATGTCCTCATGATGGTAGCTACAGGGCACAGAAATAAAAGGCAGAGTCAAGGACACTAGTAAATCTGAATTTATAATACAGGGGAATAAGGACAAAGACATGTAGTGCATAAGTGCCTCACTGGGTATGAAGGATCTTTGAGGAGGGTCAATCAGGTTAATGACAAGAGCATCAATACTGAGTGGGTGAAACTGAAACTTGTCGGGGAGAGCATTCAGATCCTTTCCTCTGTGTCAAGGGTAGCTCAGAACATGCGAGGGAGTTTAGTGGTTTCATGCTCTGCAGTACTAAGAAACGGTGAGCCTGCAGAGGATTGGCATGGACCCAGTCACATGAAGTTGCACAAGGAGATTTGTGTTTGAGGAGGAGAACTTGGGCAGTAATGCAGAAGACTGAGAGACAGAAGATGGGACTAAAGTTCAAAAGTAAAACCTTAGCTGTTACAGCAGGTGAGGGCGAGGTGGGAGAGGCAAACATCACAATGACTTTTAGATTTGGGTCTGACTAGTGAATGATGGAGGGAAAAACACTATTGACTGCAGGAGAATATTAACACTTTAATAAAAACTTGAATATGAAAGCATCTGGGAACTTCATAGCACTATTAAATCTATACTGAAAAACCCCATTAGCTGGAAAGATTGGTAGACTTTCCCAACATACTGGTTTCTGGCTTCTTTTGGAAAGTCCACTTCAGTATTTTGATCATTCTCTTACATTCTGCAACTACAAGATACTGGTATTTTGGTCTATCTTCCTGGCTCCAGCCCTGGAGTTGACCATTTCTCTGAGCATCTTTCAGCCTTTTATAGAAGACAAAAAAAGGAAAAGTGAACCTGTTAAAATTTCAAAGACAATAATAACAACATAAATCTATTCTTTGTATGAGCTAAAAATTGTAAAGCCTACAAATTTTTAAATGAGATTTTAAGAAAACTAAATGTAATACTTGAACCTGTATTGGGTTCTACACTTGATCTTAGCCAAAAGGCCGAGAAGCGATTGTATTGGGTTCTAGATTAGAAAAAAAAACTTGTAAAGATCATTAATGGGACAGTTGACAGAATTTGAGGAAAGTTGGTACAGTTTGTACCATTGTTAAATTTACTGGTTATTTTCTGTGGTTACATGAAAGAACATCTTTTATTTTTAGCAAACTGATGCTTTTAGGGATAAAGAGGATAATATCCACAACTTATTTTCTGAACGAAAAATATATCTGTACAGAACTAGGAAAAATAATCCAAAAATTCATTTGGACCCAGAAGAGACCTAGAATAGCAAAAGTCATCCATCCTAGGCAACAGAGACATGGCAGTGGGTATAACAATTCCCAATTTGAAACTATACTACAAAGCCACTGTGTTAAAAACAGCATGGTACTGGCAAAGAAACAGACCTGAGGATCAGTGGAATAGATTGGAAGATACAAAAACAACTCCAGATGTACTCAGCTACCTCATCTTTGACAAAGGAGCAAACCATCCTCACTGGAGGCAAGATAGCCTCTTTAATGAACGGTGTTGGAAAAACTGAATATCAACCTGCCAAAGATTAAAACTAGACCCTTATCTTTCACCATGCACTAAACTAAAATCCAAGATCTAAATATTAAAAAAGAGTCACTAAATTTGCTGGAAGATAAGTTAGGCAGAACTCTTGAAGACATTGGCATAGGAAAAGATTTTATGAAGAAAGCCTCAGTAGCACGGGAACTAGCAGAAAGAATCAACAACTGGGATCTCATCTTATTACGAAGCTTCTATACTACAAAAGAACCAATCAACAGAACTAAGAGACAACCCACAATTGAGGGAAAAAATTTTTACCAGCTACTTCTCAGACAAAGGACTATTATCTAGAATATATAAAGAATTCAAAAAAACACCCCAAATTTAAAGACCCAATACAAAAATGGGCATCTGAAATGAACAGACATTTCTCAGACAAAGTAAAAGAAAGTAAATATATGAAAAAATGTTCCACATCACTGATCATTCGAGAGATACAGATAAAAACAACACTGAGATTCCACCTCACCCCACAAAGAATGGCTGCTATGAAGAAATCAACCAATAACAAATGGTGGGGTTGTGAGGAGAAAAGAACCCTTCTCCATTGTTGGTGGGAGTGTAGACTGGTGCAACCACTATGGAAATCAATATGGGGATACTTCATAGAGCTGGGACTAGAGGTTCCATTTGACCCAGCCGTCCCTCTGTTGGGTATCTTTCCAAAAGAATTAAAAGAATCATATCACAGTGATATATGTGCACCTGTGTTTATAGCGGCACAGTTTGTAAGCCCATCAGTTGGAAACTGGATAAAGAAGATGTGGTTTTTCTATAAAATGGAATACTACTCAGCCATAAAGAATGAGAAATTAGAGTCATTCATAGGAAAATGGATACATATTGAGGAAATACTCCTAAGTGAAATAAGTCACACATGTATAAATACCGAACAGTTTCTCTGGTGTGAAAAACTATAATGATACATAAGATCCTAATGATATAATTGACAATGTGAAATAGGAAGAAAAGGGCTAAAGGTGTAGGGGAAATGGGAAGGGTAGGGGAAAGGTAATAAGGGAAAAGGAAAAAAAAACATGAGAAAATGAAAAAATGGAAATGAAGTATTTGTAAATAGGGAGGGGAGGAGGGAGTGAAGGGAGGGCAGGGATAAGGGGAAAAAATGAGAACCAATGTAAAGCTGCAGGATCCCAATGATGAATGTAACTGTACTGTATACTTAAAATGAACCAATAAACTAAATGAGAAAAAAAAAAAGAAAAATATATCTGTGCAGATGAGTGTGTGTGTGTGTGTGTGTGTGTGTGTGCATGCACATGCATGTCTCTATAGCAAAAGGGAGAAGGGAATGAGATACCAAATGTACCAGAATGTGGGCTGGGGATTTTTAGCTCAGTGGTGCTGCTGCCTGCCTCGCAAGCTCAAGGTCTTGAGTTCGATCCCTGTTACCAAAAAAATAAAAAAAGATTCCCAGAATGTTAACAGCTGGAGAATTCTCTATAATGGAAGTTCTTTGTACTAGTCTGATTATATTTGTGAAAATTTGAAATGGTTTTAGAATAAAGTTTTTTTGAAAAAATATGGTCTTTAAAGACAAATGGAAACTACGCCTATAGTTCTTTAATTTTCATTCTATATTTCAAGTAATTAAAATTTAGCCCATCTTATCCCACAAAGAAAGGCCACCATAAAAGAATCATATAGGGCTGGGGATTTAGCTCAGCAGTGCCACCACCTGCTTCGCAATCGCTCAAGGTTCAGCTTGATCCTTAGTACTAAAAACAATAAATAAATAAAGGAGTCAAATAATAAATGCTGGAGAGGCTATGGGGGAAAAAGGAACCCTTCTGCAGTGTTCATGGGAGTGTAAACTATTACACCCTCTGTGGAAATCAGTATGGAGATTCCTCAGAAAACTAAAACTAGAAATTCCGTTTGAACCAGCTATTCTCCTTTTAGGTATCTAGTTAAAGACATAATATTACAGAGATACAGGCATTCTCATGTTTATAGCAGCATAATTCATAATAACTAAATCTTGTAAGCCTATATATCAGTCAATAGATGAATAGATTTTAAAAATGTATTTACATACCATGGAATACTGTGTCATAAAGAAAGATAACTCAAATCATTTGTAGCAAAATGGATGTACCTTGAGATAATTTCAAGTAAAATAAATCAGACACAAAAGCTAAATATCAGTTTCTCTTACATGAGAAACAGTTAAAAAATACAATAAAAACAAAATAAAAAATAAGTAACAAGATAGATTGTTCTTAAAAGGGAAGGGGATCAAGAGATGGATGGAGGGGCTGGGGATTTAGCTCAGTGGTGCCGCCACCTGCCTTGCAAATTTAAAGACCCGAGTTCGATCCCTGGTACCAAAAAATAAAAATGAAAAGAGAGATGGATGGAATGGAGAGGAAGGGAAGGGATAAGAGATTTCAAGAAAAAAAGAAATTGAGATGTGTTATATATGTACAGATCCCACACAAGAAATGTAAACATGTACTGCAAACATGTACCAAAAGGGGAGATTGTTTTGTGGGGAGGGAAGGGAAAGGGAATGAAAAAGGAATTAAGATGTGGTGTATACATGTATCAACTCCATTGTGACATCGATGTCACTCTTCAAACCCTGAATTCTGGCCTGAATTTCTCCCTCTCTCCCTCTCCCTCCCTTTCTCTCTCCCTCCCTCCCTTTCTCTGTCTCTCCCTCTCTTCTTCCCTCTCTTCCTCTCTCCTTCTATCTCGCTCTCTCATTTTTTTTTTTTTTTTTTTTTTTTTTTGGTTCTGGGAATCCCACTCAGGACCTGGAACTTGATAGGCAGACATTGTGCTGCTGAGCTACATCCCCAGACCACTTGCCTGAATTACTTGTGACTCCCATTTCCTGTAGAGTCATTGGCCCTAACCTCTCATGTCCAGCAGTCAAGCTTTCCTTAAATGAGCACTTCTTGTCTATGTAGCCTCTTCATAGTGATTGGCAGCATGGCTGTCAGTGGTTTTATCCCGTGAGTTCATTCTTCACTCAAGTCACGACCTCTTGCAGTCTAAGCTTCACCAAGACTTGTGAGACAGGAATGGCAACAGTGATAGACTGGGCTGAGGATTTAGCTCAGTGGTTCTGCTGCCTGACTTGTAAGCACAAGTACTGAAGTTCGATCACTGGTACCAAAAATTAAAAAAGAATGATAGTCACACAAAAGCTGTGAAAAATTGTTGGCACCAAAATTCCAAAAACCTTTTTTTATTTCACACCAGTGCATTATGTCCATTACACCTCTGATGTATTGAACTGTGAAGATTCATGTCACAGTCTTGTCCATTCATTATCGAGTATGCACATTATTCATGCATTGTGTCTGCATTCCAGTTGGTCATTCAGGAAGAAATCTGGAATTCGTCTTTTTACATAGGCATTTACCTTATGTCCAAAGGTATCCACTTGGGCATTTACAAATAATTATAATTTATATTATTTATTTTAAATATTCAAAATTATTTTATAATTCACTATTTCCATTCATTGTTTATTGCAACAGACATAATAAGTGTATCTGTCTGGCTGACCATCTTAACTGGGGCTTGTTTATGGGGGTAGGATTTATATTACAACATTTTGAAAAAAGTCATGCTAGGTCTTATTTTTCAGTTAGGTCTTGTTTTTAGGGAAGTACAATAACATTGTCTCAGTCTGCTTTATATCTGTTTTCAGTGTCTAATTGCTTACCTATTTTAAGTCTCTTTTTTCTTAATTTTTATTTTTTATTATTACCTGTTTGTAGTTACATAATGATTATATTCCTTGTGGGGAGTTGGTGCATGTACATAACACATTTTAATTCTTTTTTCATCCTCTTTCCCTCATCTCCCTCCATCTCTTGGTCCCCTTTCCCTTTGTAAAATATCTACCTCCCTATTTCCTATTACTTATCTTGAGACTATAATGTTAAGTGATATAAATCAGACACACAAGCTTAAATCTATCTCTTATGAGTTTCTCTTATGCTTTACCTCTTTAGGATTTAAAACTTAGGGACTGTTTATTATGTTACGGATCATTTAAAAATAGGAGAAGCTGGTAGGTCTTACTAATCTTGAGGTATTTTCTATGAAAGTGTTCTTTGTTCATCAAACTGGAAATATTTATACCACCTTAAATTTTTTGATTTCATGAGAAATTATTACAAGTCTTACATTATGTATATTGTGCTCCCTCCTCTCTCCTCCCCTTCCCTTTTTGTACCAGGAATTGAACTCAGGGCCTCATGCTTACCAGGCAGTCGCTGTGCCTCTGAGTTATATCCCTGGTCCATTTAAATGCTTTCATTTAAAAAATGACAGTGCTCCTGGGCCAGGGATTTGGCTCAGTGGTTCTGCTGCTTGCCTCACAAGCGCAAGAGCCTAAGTTTGATCCCCAGTACCAAAAAAAAAAAAAAAAAAAGGACAGTGCTCAGTGCTCATATTATTTTTCATATTTTTTCCTTCCCTTTGTTCTATATGCATTCTTCCTAAATTTTTAGGATCACTTGGGCATTTGAATTTGTAGTTCTATCAAATGAGAGCACTTATAGTATTTAGGAGTGCCCATGAATGTGCATTGTGAAAATTACCAAAGTAATATGCTAATAGAATATACATAGACTTTATTGTGGGAAACATAGGATTTTATTGGACTTTTTCATAAATAGCCTGTTAATAAGCAGTATTTAATTTGTTTTTATTTTCAACAAATGCTAAAAACTTAGAGGTTCATGTTTTCAGATGGGCCATCAACTGACAAAGACTCTGAAGAGAAGAAAAAAGAACCTGCGATTACATCACAGAATAGCCCTGAAGCAAGAGAAGAAAGGTATTTCACTTTAAGTCATTGATACTGAACTCAGATAGTTTTACTTGCTCCATCACTTCCTCCATTGTTTTATGGTCATGTAACTACACTCCTGTTTTAATTTTCTAATCAAATAAAACTAGAACATTTGTATAACTAGTACCTTTATTCTAAGGTTTTTAGCAAGATTTCCTAGAAATTTAAAAGAGAAGCAGAAAACTGCTTAAATAAAAAAAGTTATTCACATTGTACATAGTATGTTTGATTGAATGGGATTTCAGAGATAGACATCTATAAAATTGATAAAGAATGTACTGATTAGCAATTCAAATGTTTACTTCTTCTCATTACCACATTCTGTTTTAGATTTCTTTTGATCCTGGATCTCATCCCCTTTCTGTGCTTTTTTTTTTTCCTTCCAAATATAGCTATTTATCCTAGGAGCTTAAAGGGTAAAGTTCACCTCTAAAGGGTTTAAATTGTTCCTCAGCTCCTGTGAGGTCTCTACATTTATTCTTTGCTAACACATACCTTGAATTGTGCAGTACATTTTGCCATAATCAGTGATATGTGTAATAAATACAAATAGTTCCTTTGTTCTTGAGAAGGTTACAGTTTTACAGTCATTTGACACTGACTTATAGCAGTGGCTCTCAAAGGGTGTCTGTAGAAGAGTGAGGACTTTGACACATTGGCCTTAACTTGGAACTACTGAGTCAGGAATCCTGGTGGTCCAGAATTCTGTTTTTAATAAACTTTTCAGGTACTTATGAGACATTCAGGTTTTACAAGCTCTGCTTGATAGCAGTAACTTCAAAACTTTTCTGTTCCTGAACTTTTATTGTGTAATAACCCCGCGTAGAGTCTTAGAGATATTAGTACATTAAGGCTAGTTTCTATTTTGACTTTATTTTTCATTGCTTTGCCAGAATTGATCATGTAGTACTCATTCTTTTATTGAATACACTGTAATTTTATCTATAATTAGTACTAACTATACTTGATGTTAAAAGAGAAAATGCAGTGGGCTAGGGGTATGGCTCAGTGATGAAACACTTGCCTAGTAGATTTGAGGCCCTGGATTTGATCCCCAGAACTGTGGGGTAAACCAATATGAGGAAATTAACATTGATAACTACTTTAATCGAGACTTTATTCATATTTATGCAGTATTCCAAAATGACATTTATTGAAAGGAAAAATATTTTTCTAAAATAACATCCAGGACTATCTATTGTATTCAGTTTTTATGTTTGGTTTCCTTTAACTGGAATAGTTTCTTAGTCCATTGCTGTCTTTCTTGACCTAGATACTTCGGTATAGACCATAACTTAATGAATTTTTGAATTGTGCTTTTAACTTTTACATTCAAGGTCACTGTCTTACTGCCTTGAAAATATAAAATATGGGCAAATATTTTAAATATATAATGAAGGAAAAGCAAATTCTTAGCACATTTTCATCAGTTTTATATACTTGAAGTTTAGGTATATACCCTATTTTCAAACCCACATTATTGTGTATAAAGGCTGATAGTTATATTGAATTGATGTTTCCAGGGAGGAGTCATCTTGTCATAGTCTCTAGACTTCTCAATACACATAGCTTTCCTGTGAAGACTGTCTTGTTAGAACCTTGTTATCTTATTTAAATAGGGTTTTTCAAACATTTTTTTTCACCCTTTAATTTTGGTGGCATTGCCATATTCTCCGGTCCCATTCCTTCATTCTTTTCTTCAAACCAAGATCTTTGCTTTTCATGTAATGAAGTATATGTGTATTTTCTCTATTGAAATATTGTTTAATGATTAAAGGAACAATAAAGGTAAAATATCTGATATTTTTAAAAAGATATGAAACTTGTCTATTTTTTAAATTTAAAAACTTATTAACTTGTTTTTTATCTATTTGTAGGCACCTTTTTTTCCTTTTGTAAGAGTCACTGAAATACTTTTTATTTAGGCAAAAAGTTGTTTTTAGAGAATGAAAATGATGTTGTTACTTTTAGAGGATTCTTCCTGATTTTTTGTTTCGTTTCGTATGTGTGTGGGGGGCCATGTATTTTGTAGTAGTTCCAGTGGCAATGCAAGCAGCAGGAAGGATGATACAAATGCTCGAGATACCTACGTTTCATCTTTTCCTCGAGCACCAAGCACTTCAGATTCTGTGCGGTTAAAGTGTAGGGAGATGCTTGCTGCAGCTCTAAGAACAGGAGGTAAGTTTCATGTATGTTGTATATTGTTTGTCAGCCCTTTCATCACCACTATCTCTACCTCCACAATACTGTTTTACAAGCATTGTCCTCTTTCTTGATAGCTACCCACTCTCTGCATACTTAGCACATGGAGAAGTTGTTGCTAGTAGTGGTCTATAAAGGTTGAGAGAGAAGAGTATCTGCTTATTACTATTACTAGGACATCTAGTTATTACTATGTAATTCCAAGAAATAGATTCCCTTAATATTTGACTGTTTTTCCTAATTTGCAGTAATATAAACTTTTCTCCTGCAAATTCTTCATTTCCCTGCATTTAATTGTGCATACTACTTTCTCTGTCCTTACATTGAGAGTTAACAATATAAATTGTTAAAAGTTTGTGTGACATGGTATAAAGTTTTTTATTCATAATTTTATTTTCCCTTTTTTTTTTCATTTTTTTTAAAGTGGAAAAGCAGTCTTGATTTTTTAATGGAAACTTTAATCTGAAGGTATCTAGTGTTAGTGTGTAAAATCTTGGCTTAGAAGTTCTAAATGCAGTGAAATGTAACATGCTACTCCATAAATATGGAGTATAATTTATGTATCAGTTTAAAAAAGAATAAGTTTTATATACAGGAATAAAAGTCATACAAATTCATACTTTTCTATTATGCTGAAACTTAGCTAGTTTGGCCTATTTTTTCCCTTACCTGCTCTTTCTTGATTTCCTTACTGTCTCTTTATATGCATATTTTCTTTTTCACTCTAGTTTCTATTTCTTTCTTTCTATCCTTTTGAATATTTGCATAGGAATCTTAGTGTGTCCGTGTATGTGATTGGCAGATAAAATGAATGGTGTCTTTGCATTGAAGCCTGAGTCACAGGAGACAGACAGTTCTTTCTATAACTTTCTCTGCTCTGCTGGAACAACCAGAATTTATGGAGTTGTGAATGAGGAATTGCCTGCTAGTTAAATTATTTCCCCACACCGGAGGGAAAAGGAGTCATGAATGCAGGAGCACTGTGGATATTAGGTAAATCCCTGAGGAGGAGTCTAGTGGATAGTAAGAGAACAGATTCTAATGAAGCTAAACTAAAAGGATTCTTTATATGTGCAAATAGGGTTGAAGAAATAGGAGTGCAGTTTTAATTTACCTTGTACTGTACTTTTAATAGGTTATAATAACTTCATGCTTCTGTATACCTGTTTTTAGATGACTACATTGCAATTGGAGCTGATGAGGAAGAACTAGGATCTCAGATTGAGGAAGATATCCTTTGTGTACATAATCATAATTGAAGTAATCTGCTAAATTGATTATAAATTTTTTCTTTTGGTATATAATTTAAGGGTTTATTTTTCAGTTTCTTTCTTGATTGTACTTTTATCAGGAAGAAGAAGAACATGTCAGTTTGTTTATTCTTATCACTCACAAATAAATAAAACAGTTGTGTTGGCATTTTTTACTTTTTTGCCTTGAAAATTGAGAATGTAGCATCTGAATTTAAGTTGTGCAAAAGGACAGGGAAAGCACACATATAAGCGTGAAGATTTCTCAACAGGGGTACCTCTGGAGAGTATACACAATTCCATGAGCTCATCCTAGAGCAGTGAAACTTTTAGAGCTTTCAGTGATAGCACCCAGCCAAGCTGTGGCATGCATGCCATAGATTCACCACCACTGTCTTAAAGGGAAGTATATTCATTCTGGATACTATAGAAAGGGCTCTGGGAAACAGATCCTGCCTAAGGGGAGAAGAACAGAATATCTAGATGACAGTGTGACATGATACTATCCAGAGCTCAGTGTCTGCTGTGACCTGACTGGTGGAGAAAGACCTACTAAACTTATTGGATGCTGAGTTGGGAGAAATGAACTTCCAGGGCCCTTTAAAAGGTCTTCTCTCAGAAGGCCCCAGTAGAACTAGGACCATGGCTGTTGAGATTTAAGATTCTTATTATAATTCAGATTTGGGCAGATTAAAGCTATGTACTGCAAACTCCTTTTCAAAAATGTTCACTTGGATTGAATACCTGAATTTTTAAAAACTGTTGTGTTTGCATATTGCTAGTTTTTTGGGGGGTTTTTTGGTTGTGTTTTTTTTTGGTCCTGAGGATCGAACTTGGGTCCTTGTGCTTGCGAGGCAGGTGCTGAACCATTGAGCTAAATCCCCAGCCCTGCTAGTATTAAATATTGAAAAAAAAGTATTACTTTTCCAGAGCATACAAGCACTAACACTATTATTTGTCGGTTCAAGTAAAAGAATCAGATACATGTCTTGTTCTTACCTTAATTTAAGTTAGAAACAATTTTTATGAACTGCTTAGAAATTTCAGGAATTCTTATTTGGCAGAAAAGAAAAAAGTAATCTTATCTTCATAATTTTAACTTTTTTTCCTTAATGGCCAAGTACCTATATATCAAGAAATAAGGAATACAGACATGAAATATAAAAATAGAGTCCGAAGTAGAATATCAAATCTTAAAGATGCAAAGAATCCAAATTTAAGGAAAAATGTATTGTGTGGGAATATTCCTCCTGACTTATTTGCTAGAATGACGGCAGAGGTGAGAGCATACCTTTATGTAAAGTATCTGTGATGTGATTCCATGATGTCAAGTGTAAAACCTATTTAGATCATAAAAGTGGTTCATAAATATTGCATATGTAATAAATTCCTACTAGCTGTTTTATTTATATGTAAATATAAATATTTAAGAGGATCGAGTCTATTGATAAACTTTTCCCATTCTGTAGCTGTTTTAGTAGTCTTTGTAGTAATACATTAAGTCATTAGCTAAAACCAAAAGTGTTTCACTTTTAATTCATACACGGTTGTGAATTTCTAATTGCAAACAGACTTTGTACTCTATGCTTTTTTCGTGGTTGAACACTATTAAGATTGGTCATAAGTTAAGGATTGTTAGGGAATGATGGAAAAAATGAAATTCATAGCTTACTGTTTATAGTCATTGCTATTAATAGTCGCTGTAGTGAATTTATTTTTCTGCATAGCTAATAAAACCTGCAGAGCTCTGTGTGGTGGTGCACATTATAATCCCAGCCATTCAGGAGGATTGTGAGTTGAGTGAGACAAGTCTGGGCGATTCTGCAAGACCCTATCTCAAAAATCACATTTTAGAAAGGGAAGTGAGAGGTGGAGGTGGAGCTCAGTTGTAGAGCACTTGCGTAGTATATAATGAGACCACGTTTGCATTTCTCAAGCATCAGTATCTTTGAGAATTTGTCACCATTTTTGTTTATGTGATTTTTTTTTTTTTTTTTTGTGGTACTGAGGATTAAACTCAGGACCTACAGCGCCACATCCCTGGCCCAAAAACAATGCTGGGATTACAGGCATGTACCACCATACCCAGCCCCTAATTTGTTTTGTATTACCTTTATTTCCTTAAATTTATTTAGAAGCAAATTGCAAACATTATATCCTTCTACCTTTATATATGTGGGAGACATTTTAAAAGTATATTTTTCTTATAAAACTATATTGTCATCACATTCAACAATAATTTCTTGGTATTATATAAGGTCTAGTTCATATTCATGTTTTCCTATTTATACATGTACTTTGTATTGGGATCTAGTCTACACATTACCTTTAGTTTGGTCTATGAATGATTGTTTTCTGTTTTATTTTTTAACTGAAAAGTCTTTTCCTGGCACTTTGCATCCCTCTTTTGTGCTTTTTTTCCGTTTATGATGTTGCCTTGTTGAAGACATGAATTTTGAATCCCACATTATGTAATTCTTCTTTATCTCACAGTATGAATTTGTGTTTCTTCTTCATGGTGTTAACTTAATTTTTCTATCCTATTTTCTCTACACTGGAAGCTAGTCCTGTAGGCTTGATTGCATTTAAGTTCTGCTTTTTTCCTGAATAAATATTTCATAAGTAATGCTTTTTACTTTAGTTGTTTTCACAACTCACAAGAGGCATCTAACGTTGCTTTCTTCTTCACATACTAGCATTTGTCAGTTGGGCTTGGGTAGTGATGATGATTCTAATTCCTTCATTGTAAATTCTTCATTTGCCTTTTATCTAATGATTTCATCAACTGGTGAAGACAAACAATATTTGAAGAAATTTTTAAAGAAAGCAAATTCTTACAAGTAACTAAGGAAAAAATAATTAAATTTATTTTTTTTCCTTCCTTCTTTGTGTGGTATTGCCACATCTCATAGGAAATGGCTAGTGATGAGCTCAAAGAGATGCGGAAAAACTTGACCAAAGAAGCCATCAGAGAACATCAGATGGCTAAGACAGGAGGTACTCAGACTGACTTATTCACATGTGGCAAATGTAAAAAGAAGAATTGCACTTACACACAGGTTTGTGATTACTTATAGATTCTTAACTTTCATATTAAGAATGTTTGCAGTTCCTGTTGTTTGAAACAAGTAACAAAGATAATTACTAATACTTGGTGTGATATTTTTCAAGAGATAGGATAATACTTTTTAAAAACTGACTTCAATTAATGAAAGTAAGTTGATATATTTATGCTTTCATGAAAAGTTCCTGTAAAAGCTATAGTAATCAAGTAAATTGATAAAACACAGGAGGTAATAAAAATAACCTTGTTGTTTACTAACAGCTCATAAACGGTTACTGGTTGGTATGTAAACTTTAAGGCAATAATTTCTTTTAGTTTGTAGGTCTATATGATACAAAAGTTTTTTGCTCTCTCACATAGCGTGCACACTCCAGGCTCAACTGGTATCCAGATATCTGTTCCTTTATGTCACATATTGATGCCTTTCATGTTCATATTATGATGTGATTGACTTTTTTTGTCCATGAATAGTTGAAAAGAATCATGTAGGGCCAGGGATTTATTTAGCTCAGTGGTCCTGCTGCCTGCCTTGAAAGCACAAGGTCCTGAGTTCAATCCCAGTACCAACCCCCGCTAAAAAAAGAATCATGTTTTTTGATTGCATGTGTCTATATAAAAATTACTATCACAGTCTTAATTTAATTTGCCAAAAAGATTTTTTTGTACTATACCTATAATATGCTGAACTCAAAAATTTCCCCCTTGAAGACCATGTTTCATTTCTCAAATTTAGTAGTATGTGGTACAATGTTACATGAGCTTCTTCCTCTTACTTTTTGCAGAACTTTAGTATTCTATCTTCAGATATGCTAGATTTAACCTTGTTTAAAGTTCTTTATCTTTTTGAAGTGTTTATTTAGTCACAGTTGCAAGTCTGGTATTTTAGTGTTTCATTTTGTAGAAGTTTTAATACTGCTAGTTATTGAAATGTATCAACATGGTGAAAGTGGTTTCAGAAAATTTTAAGTTGGAGTTGCACTATTTTCTAACTATAATAATATAGTTATATAATAATAGTTATATGATCAGATTATAGACAGCTAAGAAAAAATACAGACATTGTTTCTTTTAAGAGAAAGAACCTGGAACCTAGTCTAGAAGTGAATGCATATTTAGATTAAAAAAAAAACTTCCAAAGTTCTTATGAAAATAACGAATATAAAGAATTAAGTGTGGGACTGGGCATTTAGCACACTGGTGCTGCCACCTGCCTCACAAGTGCAAGGTCCTGAGTTTGATTCCCTGTACCAAAAAAAAAGAATTAAGTGTGACTTTTATTTACCATGTAAACATCAAGAGATTAAAAATTTTCTCCATAAACTAAAGTTTATGTCTACTTTCAGGGCCCCAGGTAGCAATAGTCAGTTTATATAAAGACTAGTAAAAGGACTGCCTTATCAGAAGGCCTCTTAAATAAGAAGAAAGTACTATTTTGAGTATGGTGCTTCTTTGCTTTCCTTTGGGCTCTGACTGAATGAAAAGTCATGTTGATAGCTTACAAGTTATGAAGTTTCTGATCTTTGAAATGGTGATAACTGGATTATCTCCTATTAAATTGAATTATATTCAAAATACAGTATTGTTAGTATTTTGGCTCATGCTATAAACTTTATTAGATTTAAGAACATCTTCATTTGGGAATGTAGGTTTAGAAGAAACCTTTCTGTCTTTCAAACATTTGGTTTCAGTGATTCTTTCCAGTGGAGAAGTTGGGAAACATATAATCTTGTATAAATCTTTTTTTGGGTTTTGTTTTTGTTTTTTTTTTGAGACAGGGAGAGTCTCACTATGTAGTTGAGACTGATCTGGAACTCAATATGTAGCCCAGGCTGGTCTCAAACTCATAGCGATCCTCCTGCCTCAGCCTCCAAGTGCTGGGATTACCGGCATGCGCCACCACACCCAGATAATCTTGTATAAATCTTTATTAGTATTTTTTATTTGCTGAGTTATATTTGCATATATATA